TTTTTCTCTTCATAGTTTATATATATGGATTTTTCTAAGGATATATAATTATTGTACTTTTTTATATTAATTAGTATTGAAAAAATAAAAATTAATTTTTATTTAAGTAATTATACAATTAAAATGATTTACATAGTATTAATGATAAAATTAATAACAATTTTATATTTTTTTAATATTAATTGATGTAAAAATTATACAATAATCATACTCTTAACTTGAACAAAAGTTAAAAAACCTCTTTATATATATAAATAATTAAACACAAAAAATTATCAACTACCAAAGATTATATATATAAGCACTTGTTACAGAGGATGAAACACATCTAGAAAAGGTCTTCCCACTATTAATAAGTTTAGATTAATTAATGAGTTATCCACTATTACTATTGCATGTTTAAATATTATTCTGTAAATGAGTTGAGATAGGATCAACACAAGTAGGGTCCTTATTTTTTCTCTTTAATTATTTATTTTTAAAGGTAAAATTAGAGCTTGTATTTTTTTATTATTTTGGTTTTTATAAAGGAATGCATTATCATTCAATCAATGGATTTTTTTACAGAACCAATTAATTAACAACCAGGATCAAACTAGCCTAAACCCCTTCTGTAAGGGTAACCTAAAAACGGCAAGAACCTCGTCGTCCCAGCTATCCTGATCTCAATTCGGTGATGAAACACACAAGGACAAACCCTAGAAAACATTGCAAGTGAGAAAGCTATGTCTAACACCTAGTACTGATGCTTATTTTCAGAAAGATAAATAAAATTTAATTAAAATCATGCTTGCGTCTTGAAGATTCACCCTACATCCAGGGCGACCTTAATCCTGTGTATATAGCAGCATTTGAGAGCCACGACAACCAAAACCTATCAACTAACTCGTATATATGAATAGTGATATAGGGGAGAATTTGGAATTAATGATCAATGTGATATAAATTATATCATTAAATAAGTTGATGTATATAATATCATGAATTTTATATAAATTGAAAATAAATAATCATTAAATATATAACATTCACTTCTTAATATTTTAAATGACATAATTCATATCACAAGTAATTGGTCTCAAATTTTAATTTCAGAAAATTTATCTCTTTTATCATTATTCTGTGTATATGTATCTCTGGGTGTTGTAAGTGTTAAAAGGAAAGTGTAAAAGAGAGTGTTGTTAATAGCTCATTAATTAGTTTAAGAGATTTTCTAATTTATATTCTTAGGGTACAAGTTAAATCTCATTAATTATAATATTTATAATTAATTTTGTAATAAATTTTTATATAAGATTTAAATAAAATATAATATAGAATATAAAAATATAATATAATATTCATACTGAAAATTTATTAAAAAATTATAAATTTAATATAAAAATTTGTGTAAAATTAATTAAAAATATCATAATTAATAAATTTTAACATATATAATTAAAGTACAAATTAAACAAATTCTTAATTCAATATATATACTCAAGAATAATATTTCCACAGTTAATATTGCTCAGGACGTCATTTTCTAGGGAGACAATTAATCCCGTGGTTTGAAAATGAAACTTTCCAAGTGATATGATAGGCAGAGATTTGGGCATTTTCAGGTATCTGAAATTATATTGAAGCCATTAATGGAGTTGGAATAAGTGTATATACTAATAATACTCTAAATACACAGTCGATTAAATATCACGAACATGTTTGAAAGAGTTTCAGGATTTGATGATTGGAAGAAATTAAGGGCTCTTATTATCGGTTTAAAATGTAAAATAAAATTAACTCTTTACCTTCACTCCATCATGCCAACAGAACTCACTTATCTTCCATTAAAAAAGGGAAAAAGAAAAAAGAAAGAAAGAAAAAAAAAAGACAGTATTCACTTATCAAAAGACAAAACAGACAATGATACAGATTTTTTTTATTTAACTCTATAACATATTTATTAAAAAATTATTATTTTTAATTTAAAATTTTAATTCAAAAAACTTTTAAAGATACAATTATATATAACATGAAAAAATTAACAGAATTGACTACATTTATATTATATTTTAATAATTAAAAAAATTGGGCGTTCGGTGCATGTATCAAATCAAATTGTGTCCAAAGGCACTAAGCACCTATTCTTAATAATTTAGGTAAAATTATTAATCGTTATCCCAAATAGCTATGCCAAATGGTTCCCTTTTGCAAGACCAAATACATACTGTCTTTCACATTTTTCTAATAATAGAGATTACAAGTTTTTATTTATTCTTAATAAAGAATATTAACTCTTCGATTTTTCTATACAAACATTTTAAAAGATGTAGACCAATAAGAGCTAAAATCATTGAGTGTTAAAGATTTTTAATAAAATATTACGTGAAAATACGATGTGTGATAACAATCCCTAACGCAATCTATTAATAATTTGAGAGGGATTTAGGGTACATTTGGAATTGCAGTTTGGAGTTTTTTTTAGTCATATAATATTATAATGTTTTTAAATATATGTATATTTGGTACTTTTTTTAAGATTATTTTTTTTTAAGTTGTAAAAAGTCATAATAAATTTACAATAATTTTATATATAAAGTCAAAAATTTCATTTTAAA